GTTGAACTGCCACACCAAGTCAACCACCCCTTTTAGTCAAAATAGCTTTGCGTTCAAACATGGGTGTGTGTGTGTGTGTGTGAATCAAGGCGATTTTGACACGTTCGGTTCCGTTAGGAAGCGTAAGTCACCACCGCCCACCGCAACGAGCATTCGTTCGCCCGATGGTTAACAACAACTGCCTCCTAGGTAGAGTGTATAAACCCAAATGCGTTTGCTGGTTGCATAGTACGAATGAAGACGAACCCAAGAGACTACCACCAAACGTGCGGTGGATTGTGTTTTTAGTGGGGCGTTTGTGATCTTTGTGGGAGGTTATAGCCAATGGTAAACTGCTGTCACTTGGTAACCCACCGCGCGCAATTAGTGCGCATCAATAACAAAGCACACCGTGAGAAAGGCTTGGTTGCAATCGTTTGAGGAATGGGATCATGAGCAGAACCTTCGCATTTATTGACGTACGCCAGGCGCGGAGATTAACGCAGGTACAAGAAATGATCACGTGGTCCTTTAGTATAAAATTCACGGTGAGCACAATCACTCCCAAGCGTAAAATGGGTCAAGGGCACAGCGACACAATACGTGTTATAATGTTTGGCGTGAGAAGCAGAATGAAGCTTACTCTTTCCTGCTTACGGAAAAGTGTTGGTTTAATTTATATTAGCCCTCAGGTAGATTTTAAATTTTCAGCAATACGAAACTATCTTAGTAATAGCCTTATGCCATCTCAGTCTTGCTTTGTGCACTTTGTTCAGCCAATCATCCTCAGTATTTGGCATCACCCACTGCAACCTTTCATGTTTATACCTCTTAACTTTTATTGCCAAGAGAGCCGTTTGTTAGTCCATACCACTGAAAGCTGATCCAACTTTTTGTGGCTCCCGGGAATCTCCAAAATGCAACAATAAATGCAGTGCTGCTCTCAATTCTGTCCATTTCGTTCTTATCAATCATGGGTCATAAAGTCGTTTATTTGTTCATTAGGTTGCGGCGCGTGGCCTTGACTTTCCATACGTGAAAGCGGTTATCAACTTCGGTCTGCCTTTGGGTCTCGATGAATACGTGCATAGGATTGGTCGAACAGGCAGAATGGGCCACACAGGCCTAGCTATCACCTTGGTTGCCTCTAGCAACATCAAAGGTGACAAGCATCTGCAGAGTGTGGCTCGCGGTGTATGTCGTCTCATTGGAGACACGTCTGGCATTCCGAAGGAGCTCCAGCACGCCGCGAGGTTGAAGCCAGGTGTTTGTGACTCCGATGAGGAGTACAGTTCAGCAAGTTACCAGCGACAGGGTTTGGTTTCTCCTTGCCCGCCTCAGCGGTTAAAAAGTCGGTACCCTAAGAATGGGGCACCGGTGTTCCGGAGACGTACCTAAGATGCTGCGTTTTAATGGCACTTGTAATCTTAGCCTCTTTTGTATAGTGTCAGATAAATTATAAAGCTTTTTTTCCGAAAACACACTATTTGGTTGGGAATACATAGCAACCTGATGTAATACAAATTACACCACTAAGGGGACACAATGTTTTGACATTCTTGTGGATTTCGTTGACTGTCGCCTAAAATCAAGCGTCCAAGCAATATATATGTATACGTATGTATTTTCATTTAAATATCGTTAGTATCCTCGTACAACATCAAATATATTTTGGCTCGGTTAATTTCCGACCAAGTCATCTGCATTATTTTGTTGCAAGGATGTTAGCTCACGTAATCTTCTTTCGTAATATTCCAGCTGTTATCGAAAGCCTAGACGTCCAGTTAGAAGACTGTTGTACACTGTTGATGTCATTGCTGCCCAAAAAAGGGTACATCGTGTGATGAAATCATTTAAGTTGGGACATATTGTAAAAATCTGACTACTAACCGACGGCGTTCTTCTCAGCGTTGAGTCAGTTCACCAAACATTTCTACTGTTTCTGCCGGAATCCACGACTAGAATAGTTTAATGGATGTGGGAATGGCCCGGGAATGCTTGACCATCCACTAGATGTCCCAAAGTAGTTTTGAATGGAAATAGGGTAACAAATGCTTACGTGTCACAGACGTGCACAATGACTGGTTCGTTGATTGTAATTCGTAACATTCAGGTGAGTTAAGTCATTGGCTCAGAGATAAGTGTAGGGGAAGAGGTACGCACGAAAGCGTGTTTGATAAGGTGTGTTCATCAATTCACGCAGCTTTGGGGTGGGGAGGGGGGGCGGAAGACCTGAGTCAGCTAAATTGCAGGTCGCCATGCTGTTCTTGTTGGGGATCCACGATTTCCCAATATTGGTTTCTGATTTTATTTACATTAATTTATTAACAATTGTTTTGTGACGCTTTTATCAAGCCAAGGTCAACCTTTACTTGAATTAGTCTTCAAATTACTTTGGGTTTCACTTCTTCTCTGCACGTGGCTTGCGTGAATAAAGCTCTCTACTCGAGCTCTGGTCTTGTTCTGGTGTTAGCCTGGGAAGGTCGGTTCTAGCTTTCAGCGAGGGATCTAGTACCGTCATTTGAGTGGTATTCTCTATTGTTACGGGCAAACGCAACAGTTCTGACACAATAACATTCTTGCGATCACTTCAATATTGTCTGATTTTGCTCTTAATGTACCTTAGAGTGGATCTTGCCGTTTTATGCGAGATTGCGATGTCATCACGACATGCCCTCACCGAACCTGGCGTCTAGAAAAGTAAAACCCCACGACAGTAAGAGTTTAACTGGAGATTGTTACTAAAAAGGTTATTGGTTATCTGAGAGACAACGACATCTTATCAACTCGATCATTTCCACCCAGGTGACGCGAGCCTGATTTATTCGCATCGGCTAATTATTAATCGCCTACAGTAACTATACCCTAGTCACCTTCACGCCATTTTACACCTACATGTACAAGAGCACCTATGTGACTGTAGTGCGCCTAGGCATGTCAAGAAGTCTGAGGAAAGACGGGGGTTTTGTTGACCCAAAGCCGTTCAACGGCCAATTTCTTGATTTTTGGTCTGAGTACAGGGACTATGGTGTTCTATTAGCAAAAATCTTTGTGTGATTAATTACGGAATGGCGTCAGCATCAGTCTAGAGTAGAATACCCAATCTCGAGTATGAAGAAGACAGGCATTGTTCACATAAAACCCAAAGCCATAAGGTTGG